AACGAGCCACTCTGGAGCTTACCGGGAATCCAGGCTTTTGTGGAGCTCTTTTTGTTCTCAAGAAGCCTGGCTTTTTGCAGGGATCCCAGCACTTCCATGACTGCAGCTACAAAGCAGGGCCAGCAGCAGCACAGCACCAGCACTGCTGGGCACCGTGCAGCAGCTCAGCCCTGCTGCGAAGCTTCCCAGCTCTGCCATCCCAGGACACAGCACTAGCAAAAGCCAGGTGACGTTTTTCCACCTGCTTGCACTCACTGGAGATGGCAGGTCCTGCAGGGAGAGTGGAGAGGGCAGGGAGTAGGTGATGCCTGCAGGTCCTCCTCAGAAGGGGGTGGTCTTCATGGGAAGCCAGCCACCGCTGTTCTCAGGGCTGACTTTCCCCTTCTGGCTTGCCAGAAAGGAGATTTATTGGGTCTGGGTAGCAGTGTTAGCAGAGCAGGCTGTGTTTCCTCGGAGACTGTCTGTGAGTCCCTGTCAGCTGAGAATGGATGTGCCAAGTCAGCCTCAGGCCATGAGCCCCTGGGAAGGTAGTGCCAGGAGCCCCTCTTGTCCCTATGGCACTTGGCAGAGATACAAGGATGCTCCTGGCTGCCTTATAGCCCAGGGTGGCAGGGAGAAGCAGGCAAGCTGCCTTTTGAGAAGTGAGCTATGCTGAGGAGGTGCGCCTCGTGCTTTTTCCTGTCCCATCCCATCCCATCCCATCCCTGTGAGACTCAGGGCTCACAGGGGACCGGCCAGGACCCCTTTCTCTGTGGCCTGCAGTTGAGCTGCAAGCACAGCCCCCGCAGGGCAGGTATCGTGCTCAGGGCGACTGTCACTGTGTTGTGTCCTCATGTGATCCATCCTGGGTGACAGCAGGACCCTGAAATCTGCTTCTGAACACCATCCCTGCCCTTCTGCATGATATGTTACCTCCAGGCAGATGCTGCCCTGCTCCTTTTCACCACCTTCAATCCAAGAGCTGGAGCTTCTGCCCTTGGACTTCCCTGCTTACCCCCCCAGATTATTGCTGCCCACACTTTGGGGTGCCTGGTCCCACTTTGTGCACACAGCTCCCGATGCCAGTGATGCCCCCATCTCCCTGCTCCAGCCCACTGCCTCCTCGTCCTCGCGGTGGGCCTGGGGTCCCAGCGCTCGAGCCCTTGCCTGCCCTTCCCTAGCCCCCTGCCCGAGGGGCGGCTGGGGATGCTTCCCGGCTCAGAAAGGCCAGATCCTCTCCCACCAGCCATCATCTCCCCACTTTCAGGAGCCTGCCACTGCTGCGCTCCCCCCCCCC